AAAAAAAAAAAAAAAAAAAAAAGCCTTAGGCCCTTGTTTTCCATCAAGGATTTTTCACAAACGTGTTTGCTTCATTATCTGTCCATTGCTAAGCCTCCTTGTCTGCAGTTTAATGTCTTTTTCTTCTGGTTTCTCTTATGGAGCTTCTTTCTTGTATTGTGTTTTATTATTGCCATTTCCTTCTACAACTTATATAGACAAAATGTGTTAGAAATCACGACTCTCCACAATAGTATGATATTGTCCACTTTGAGCATAAGCTCTCATAGCTTTGCTTTGGACTTACCCAAAAGGTCTCGTACCAAATGAAGTTAGTATTCCTCACTTATAAACCCATGATCATTTTTTAAATTAGCCAATATGGGGCTTTCATCATCCAACAAAATGCTCCTCAAATTTAGAGAGTTAGATCTCTAATCGATTAGCAAGAACATCTATACCCACAGCCACCCATTTTCTGGGGTTGGGTCTCTTTCAAATGAACCTTGCTATTTTCTGCTTGTCAACTTGTTCATCTTTGAGTTTGTAGTAATTTATATGCTTTTGAAGTAACTATTTTGATATGTTAACGAACCATTTGTGTTGGATAAATTATGATTTCTTGTAATTTATGGTTTGAGTTTTAATTGAGAATAAGAACTTGTTTGAACACTACTTTTGTTTATTCTGTTCATAATGGTTACAAACAAAAAAGTTGAACCATATATGTTCGTTTTAGGTTAAAAATTATTTTCTTTTCAGGGTTTTTGAGAAGACAAATGAATGAAAAGAGTTATAAAGAATAGTATAAAAAAGTAGCTAAAAAAATAACAAAAAGTATGCAGAAACATATAATACAGTAAAAGCGTCGAGAGGGAGAGAACAATATATTGAAAGTGATGTAGCTATTGAATAGGAATCAGTCCTATAAAATTATTGGGGAATTTTCTTTATAAAAAAGAGGAATAATACGTATCAAAATAGAATAATGAAATATACATCAAAGAAATTTTTAGGAAATTGGAGAACACGTATCAATTTTAACCTTAAAATTTTAATTTCAAACTTAATATCAATAATATTAAATTTTAATTTAGAACAATAAAAGATCAATTAACTAAAATCTTGCCCAAAAAATCAACCCTTAAAAGAAATCAATTCTGAAACCAAAATGCTCGAACTCAACTTAAAAAAAAAAAGAAAAGAAACTCAAAACTCAAACAAAACACACTCAAAACAAGTTAAAGATTTATAACAAGAAATTAAAATTTTAAAGTTAAACTTGACTCACTAAAGTAATTAGAAAACAAAAGTGAAGAATCAAATTTCCCCATGCCAAAGCAAGTATCCAAACGTAGTTTAAAAAACTGAAATCAATAGTGAGAGATCCTCGTAAGTTCTGGGACACGTGATACCATGTCAAAATCTTCCAAAACCTAGGAATATAACCACTCACAAATAAAGGTAAAAAAAAATCAGTACCACACAATAATGGAAGAATTCTACCTCAATAAGTCCTGTTGTGTCAGCATCTCCAGCCAAAATAATACTCGAACGGTACCCACTTGATACAAGTCGGAAGGATAAAAAAATCACTTCCACAGAGTCAATATTACCATAATTAAAAGCTTTATGAACTAAAATATAACGCACCTTTGAGATGGGCACTGTTTCCCTGAAAAAGAAAGCTCCAATCGGTGGGCGTTGGGAAAGAGATTCAGAAATGGAGATTTCAATGGTAAACAACAAAAAGGCACCATTCAATGTCTAAATAATTGAAAGAAATATATAATAGTTCATATAATCTAGAGCTAACAGGTCCCATCAAAAGACCCCATTCTTTTGTTCTTACTAACTTTAGAGGGCTTGCCATGATTTACACTGCACTAACTTATAACCAATAATTACAATTAAAGAATCAAATCCATGAAATTGTAATTGTTTATGATGCAGACTTGAACATTTTTAGGCAATTTCTAAAGGAAAAGGCCGAAAGGTAAACCAAATATGTTCTCATATATAATAGTCGAATCAAACAAAAAGGGAGATGGAGGGAAGCGTTGAGATGACATGTGATTCACATATAATCAGACCAAAAAGGTTGACATAGCAATATGATTGATACTATTACTACCACTCACACGGATACTATTTCCGATAAGTAAAACTAAATGCTTACTTATTCATTCAATGACAGTCCAGAGACCTAATCAAACATGGAAAAAGTAAGATGTATCATAATTTGAAGTAACGAACTAAACCTGCATTTATTATAATTAATAGCAGAGTTACTCTCATAAATTCTATTCGCATAATGAGATTAGCAGATTACTACTGGACTAAGTTCTATACCAATCAGATATCTCAGATTGCAATGGAACTAATCACTTCACTACCAACAATGACAACCATAGCTAAATGGGTACTCTTTGTACTTACACAAAGCTAAAACTTCAAAGCAAGGGAAACTTGGCCAGTGAATTAAGCAGAAAATATCCAGTCTTCTAAACAAGTGCATTCAATAAATACAAATTATCTGAACTATAAGATTCATAGATAGTTCATCAGATCCACAAACACCAATTATCATAGTGACTAGATAATGGTTAATAGTAAAGGACAAAGACAAAAATAGATCAAAGAGGACAATTTTCAAGTAGTCAAAATATGAAAAAGGACAAGGTAAGCATCTGGACCACAAATGCCATCCAGCGCAGCACAAATATTCCAGTCATTTTCTAACTTCTTTTTAACTTTCACATCTCTCCTTCACACCACCACTCTGAACTTGGTAGAGGAGTCGTCACTTCAGCAATAGCTAAATCCTATTTTTGGTTTTCTCCATTGCTCTTGGGGCTACAGAAGAAAAGTGCAATTAATGAGTACCGTAACTTATCAACCACAATCTACAAGACATGTGAACCAGACAACACCCACAGAAGTCAAACAACTAATAGTGGATGAAAAGACAAGGGGTCTAATACACGATGCAAACGAACAAGTTATACACATTAATTGGTCCTCGGATTCTAGAGTTATGATCACCGAGGTCATGTTCTTCTCAAGTTACAGACATTGGAAGTATCTTCCATATGCATTACATATATATAAGGATCAAATTTCACCACTTTTATTGCAAAGAAATAAGAAATAAGAAATAAGAAATAAGAAATAAGTGAAGACCTTACAAAGAAATAAGAAATTATGGATACTTTCACTCCAATGGATATCTATAGCAATAGATTCCAATGCTCAAGTAACTCTGAGGGATAATAACGTGTTCAAAGTATATACAAACTATTGTCACATGAGATGATGGAAACCTCAGACCTAGAATAAGGAAGAAATAAGAATATATTTATTTGTTTCACTGCATAAATTAGTTGTTTAGTGCCACTTCTGTGTATCTCTTCTACCCCTCCTACTACTCACAAGCCCATAAAAAGAATGAAGTGATATTGATAGTCTCAACTACCCTTCCAATCAGATAATTGAGAAAACGGCAAAAATTTAGCCTACCTAGGGACTGAGTTCTGGCAGATAAAAATTATCGTACTGTGATAAATCAACTTACTACACTGTACCTAAGCCAATTGCATCAGAGCCCTTCATGATTTTCAGCCTTTTGCATGAATCAATGAACATCCTGCAATAAAAGTACATGAAATTATATGCAGAATACTTGGCCTGAATCTTGAAACATCATATAATACAATTGAATGCAATTAATGGTAGAAATGGATGATATTGTGATGGAGAAAAAAAGTAATTAAAAGGGCTAAATCCAGACAATCCTTTCTAGATATAAAGGGATGAAACTTCAAAAACATGTCCTGGTATCATCTAATTCAACATAGTATTCTTGTTACATTAACTAAAGAGCTTACATTGACAGAAATGAGTGCGCAATTAAATGATTTTAGTCAACGAACTTACTCCCAGGGGATTTCGCCAACAAGCATCCAGTCACCATCCCTATCTTCATATGTAAGCACATATTCAGATCCATGTAAATGATCCCTCAACTTGCTCTCACTTAGTATATCTCTCCCTGGAGCTCCATGGGATCCACACTGACCTGCACCACGAGATCCATAGAAAAACATGGTATTCTTGTTATTCAACATGACAATGTAGATCACAACCACCCATACTATCCATATTCCGAGTTTGACAACAGTAAAACATTAAATATTATTTTAGTCTCATGATTAAAAAAAAAAAAAAAAAAACTGGCATGCTACTAGGTTGAAAATAATTGGAGCTCACCTATAGTAAAACAGCTAAACATCTTCTCAAGAGCAGAAGATAATTCCTGATACGTAGAGTATGTTCTCAGATCAACCTTCCTCAAATATGGAGCACCCTCCATGCTCACCTTGACAAAAAGGGCACCTGAACCTGGTTTTCCATCAACCTCATCATTGTTTTTAGAGTTAGCGACCAATGAATTCTTGCGGAATGATTTAATAGGTGGCCAACCAACAACCTGCGCCCTGTAAGTAAAGGAGGAGAGTTGGCAATCTGTCATCAGGTGAACTCAAATGACTGCTTTCCTAGTTAATACCATAGTTCCTACTATCAAAATTTTGGGGACCCATCTACCACAACCAGTTTCATTTACCTTGAAGCTGGGGCGTTATTGTGGTCATTTGAAGCACCTTTATGGACATGGCCAGTTCCTTTAGTTTCACAAGGCCATTCCTGTAATCCCTTTAAGGGAAATTCTTTGGTTGCATTTGGCTGAGGTCCAGAAGGCCTTGACGATAGCATTGCATTTAGCCCTGAATTAGCATGAAATTTCCCTTGGCTCACAGGATATGAAGACTCAGGATCGGAACTGGCTGCATGAAACATCCAATTTCTTTCTGTGTAAAGGGGACCTTTCACCTCTGAGTACCCTTCCATGGTATCAGAGAAACCTCTTTTGTTGCCAGAAACAATATTTTTCTGTGAAACCACACTATACCCATCCTTTGAAGGGAGCAATTGAAGTAGAGTTTTCTCATCAGGTTCTCCAGCGCTCATCAAGCTAAATTCCTGTTCTCTTTCAGGTGACATAGATCCAGGTAGACCAAGTCTCAATTCTGTAGCTTTTAAATTGAGATTTCTTTTGTTCTCCTCGGACAAGTTTGACATGGCAGAGCTGTCCACTGAAGAACAGGGCGATAGCCGGAGGTAGTTGCGCTCTCTAAACTTGGCACCATTTTGGGAAAGACAGTCCATAGAAGGTGAAGCAGCCACTACAGGGACATTGCCAAGAACCTCCTCTTCAGAATTGAGCAGTGGGAGTGACATTGGACTTCAAATATCTCGACGAGTCTAGGTTGATACAATATATTCAAACGATTCTATAGCCTGAAGTATGCAAATCCAGATCAACAGTACATAAAGATTAAAACTATATTAAAAAAGAAACTAAGTAGTTATTAAGGCAAATAGGATCCAATTTCAACAGTTTAAAAGAACAAGGGCAAGCAATATTGAAATCGGTCAACAGCTATTCAAAATTAATGGATCACAGGATCAAGCTCCTTTCATCGGGATAAAAAGTCAAATATCCCTTTTAAACTAGCCAATAGCATCGATTATTAAAAAAAACTACAGAAGAATTTTATGATTCGAGAATCAACCGGCAAAAAAACAGCATTTGATGAAGATGCTTTGACCCTGCATACACTGTAAAACTGGCTTCACTTTAACACCACTAAGTACCACAACTGCATGGCTTGATTCAAAAAGAAAAGCAGAAAATAAAAACAAACCAAACGAAAAATAGAAACAGATACCAGCAGCTTCTGATCGCAATGAAATGTAAAAGGAAAGAAAATCAATAAACAGCCTGTAAAATACAACAAGCCGGCGCTTACCAGATGGAAAAAAAATACAAGAAACTAGTAAATAAAACTTCTCTTATTTCCAGAAAAGTACAGGTAGTAATTTTGAACGCACTTATTTCAAGTAGAAGAATCTGAAATCAGCAACTGCTAAAACACCAGTAGTACGCTTAAAGTTCATTTTTCTTTTCATTTCATTAAAACAGTACGCTGGTATCTTCAATATTCTGAGTTGCTTGACGCACAGAAAGACAGAGATTAACAGTTAAACTCATAAGAACACTGAAGAACTCACCTCCGAGCAAACAAGGAAAAAGAAGAAGAAAATGGATTCCAACATAAGCAAGGCAAGCTCATTTGAAGCACAAAAAGAGAAGAATATAAGGAAGCAGGTGAAGGAAGAAGAAGAAAAAGAAGGAAGAAGACTATAGGAGTTACCTACAAGGAGAGTCGTAGATCAGAGGCGAAGATCGGGAGGGTGATTAATTTGCTGTCTGAACGAAAGAAAATTGCAGGAACCGCAGAGCGAGAGAGAGAGAGAGAGTTTAAGGGCCTTCCATTAAGCAGAAAGCAACAAAAGAGTATTGTGTGTTTGTTCCCCGAGAAACACGAAGCTCGGAAAATTAAAAAAGAGGGAAGGGGCAAACTCGAAAATAAGTCTTAAAACTCTGGCCCTTCTTTTTCCATTAATTTTGTCTATTTTTAGTTTGTCAGCATTAACGTACATGTTCATAATCATTATATCCAAAAAGTGTATGTGTGGAATATATATATAATTCCCACCCAATTCTTTTCTTTTCTTTTTTTCTTCTAAAAATAATATTTACAAAATATTAAAAATAATATTAGAGTGTTAAGATGATATAAATATTTTTTTGAAAAAATAAAATAAATGTCATCCCTCAACAATAATAATTACTATAAATAATGAGTTTGCAAAGACGAATAAAAAAATGCAGTTTTACTAAATTATACTAATGAAAATAATAAATGCTAAACTAAAACCAAAGTCAAATTCATTATAAAATGTAATTAATATTAGGATTTATTTTTAAATGTAAAAAGAAAAGACAGGTGGACGGCTGAGATGGAGTGACTGTGTTGGAAGGTTCTTGATACCCGCAGAAATAAATCATAGAGTGTATCCTTTTGTATGCCGTGGTATGGCAGCAAAAATCATCTTCGAATCCTAAATTCAGGGGCGAGTCCTAAAATGCGCTTGTCCGCCTCAAAATCCCCACTTTACCCTTCTTCTCCCACCACCTTACAACTTTTCTTATTATTATTATTCATTTTAATCTCCATTATCATTATTAATTATACTATGGATGTTATTTTTATTACTAATTAGTTATAATATTTCTCCATCCAATTTTGGAATTTTTGGTGGCAATATTTACGTGACACGTGTTATAATTATATCCTACGTAAAAGCAAACAAAAAGGTGAGAATTGTAGCAATAAATTAAATTTCAGTGCTGCTTGGTAATTAATTAGGAGGGACAAAAAAAAAAAAAAAGAAAAAAAAAGAGAGATAGTTTATGATTGACATTTATTGCCTCGCTGGACTGATATTTGTTAAATTTCGAATACCATTTTCTAAAAAGATATTGAATATCTTTACAATAATTAATAACATTTTTTAATCATAATGGCTTGCAGTTTCAAAACATTCGTAAACGGTAGATAACCAACAAATTCATTTATAAGTAAAACTAAGTATTCATAATTTTTTTTTTTTTTTTTTTTCACAAACAAACAACTAAATTATTATTATCACGTACTGAGCATATATTTTTTGTAACATGATAACAATTAAAATGTTTCTCAACATTTATAAACGTAATAGCATTTTTTTATAAGAACGCGGAAATGTAAAAGCTCAAACCAATTGAGAGGAGATATTATCTTATTTAGGTTTTCGTTCCCTCAAAATTTTAAAATGCGTATAGAGAAAGTCTTCGCACTATTATAAAAAAAATGTTTCATTATTCTCTCGAACGGACGTGAATATGGGATATCACATACAAATTTTTTCCTAGTTAATGTATTTTCCCTAAAATTAGCCAAGAATGGAGCTATAAATGACATCAAAAGTGATAGGAGAAAGAAATATAGTTGAATGGAAAATGGGTGGGAAGAGAGAGAAAGAAAAGGGCAAAAATGGAAGAAGAAAGGGGGAGAGTGCATTAAATGGAGAGAGGAGAAGGGGGGGACAGAAGAAAACAGGGAAGCAAGAGGAAGAAACTTGCTGGGGGGACAATAAAGCGCTACTTTCAACTTCTTTTGCCGGTTCCTCACCCTTCACTTCTTCTTACCACAATCATCATTACCCATTTTACCCTCTCTCTTCTCTCTCTACTTAATTGCTTTTGTTTTTATTAATAATAAGACTGTTTAATAAATAAATAAATAAGAGAGAGAGAGAGAGCAGAGCAGAGCTGGTCGGTGCTCCGGCATGGCATGATGAGCTTAGCTGCTACCGGTTTCCCACGCGTGTTTCTCCCATACTTACAAACCTTCTTCCACGCTTCCCTCTCCTTCTCATCATCCTTCTCATCATCCTTCTCTTCACTCTTCAACTCTTAAAACCCCCCCTTTTCCTTTTCTGTCCTCCCCAAAATACCCTCTCTCTTTCTAACCCTAAACCAACCCATTCGCTGCCGGCCCAATTCCAAAGCCCATTTCTTTATTATTTTTTATTTCTTCGGTGCTTGGAAAACGGTGACATGGCAGGATGGTGGATGGTGACTACTGACATGAAAATCAAATTGGGCTTCTCTTCACCACTCTGAACACCGACACCCTGGGTCCACTTCTTACACACGTTTTTCACTTGTCCCCCCTCCCCCCTCCCTCCACACGTGTCACAACAAATCAATTTTTTTTTAATTTAATCATCTATTTAAATGCTTACTTAATTCATCTCCATAAATAATAAACCTGATTAATTAACTTATGTAATAAATACTCTCAAAGCATTTGCGAAAATCAAACAAAATTATTAATATTTATTTATATAAAAAAAATCTGATAAAAATATGTGTAACGTACTGCTATTATGGGCTGACCCATAAACTGCCCGTTGCCAGGATATAGGAGGTTAAGCCCGAAGAAGTTGAGAACCCGTTTATTTGTATAAGTGGGCCGCGGCCCGGCCCATTCTCTTCACCTCATCCTTCAGGAAAGAAGGCCTATGTGTTCAATTCCCTCTAAAAAGTTTTAATAAATATAAAGTCAAAAAGAAAAAATATATATATATATATATATATATATATTTGAATTAATAAATGCACTAAATGTAATTGATATTTGTAAAAAAAAATATCCAAGAAAGGGTGCCCGCAGAAGAATTCATTCCACACATTCCCCTTTGTGGAAAGAAAAATGTGATTTGAGTTCTGACTTTTTATTTTATTTTATTTTTCTTTTTTGGTGTTGATATTTAGAGTGGACCCTAAGCAGATCAAGGACTGTGGTCCTTTCGATAAAGCCACGGGCGAGAAGCATATGGGCCTTTGCCCAATCCTCATTTTTCAAACTTTGTAACTCCAAATTGCACGTTATTTTCTTTTCTTTCTTTTCCAAATATTCTCTCCCTCTGAGGAAAACAACACTTTTTTTTTCTCATTATGACAGCTTTTTATCCAAAACTATATGATTTCATACACAGCCGTATAGAATATTACCAAGTATAGCCCAACTGGACTGCTCGAGTACCAAATCATAAAAGGCAATGACAATCGGGATTATGTTTAAAGTGGACGAAGAATGTAGATAAACTCTAACATCTTCTAGACTCCTACTCCTAAATTCCGAGTTGAATGGCTCAAATATTCTTATGAATCAACTCGCGTGTTCAAATATGGGTTGCGTAAGTCATGGTTTGATTAAATGGAAGAAAATGAAGAAAAAAAAAGGGAATAGGAGAGGGTGAAATTGGAGGTAGAGCGAAGGGTCAGATATTGGGAGCCAACCCAGAGCGGCGTCTTTGTTCCCCAAGGGTGTGGCCCATTAGGCAGCAGCAACAACTGGATACCCTTCGCCTTTCGCTTTCGTCCCTATCCTTTCCATGTCATGCCCATTCACAACAACTTGCCTCCTTCCCATTCACTTCCTTTTGGTACTCTTTTTTTGTTATGCCTACCAAACTCAAGACATTCAAGAACCCAAATTTCCTTCCCACTTTCTTCAAACAAATCCCAGTTCCACACGCCACATATCTCAGTTCAAACCAAAGGAAAAAACCCAATCAAATCCCATCTTAAACATTCATTTTTCCATAGCATTTTCCACACGGATTCAGAGATTAAAGAACAAACATTTTTTTTCACTTACAAAATTGTGAGCGTCGAGTGCAGAAGGCTGGTGGGTGGGCTCCATTTCTTGTTCTCCTCCTCTTTTTTTTTTTCCGTACTTAGCTGTACCTTTACAATGTACACATACTTTTCTTTGCTTTTCTTCCTCCACTTGGCTCTGTTTTCCATTATAAATTCCCCAAGTGCGCTCCCATTTTCTCATTCCATTCTTCATTTTCTTCTCGATTTGGCATTTGGAGCTTTTTCCAATTTTCGTTTCTTGTTCTTTCTCCCAACACATGACACATTCCACATGGAGACTCCCGATTTCTCGCCGCCTCACGCCGACGCATCCAGACCCTCCTTAGGCTTTCCTCTCGGCACTGCTCTCCTCCTTCTCGTCATCTTCACCTTGAGCGGAATCTTCTCCTGCTGTTACCATTGGGATAAACTCAGATCCATCCGCCGTTCCGCTGCCCAAGCACTACATCACGATCATCATCTCCTCCCTTCGTCTCCATCCAAATCCAACTCTACTGCACTGGTAATTTTAATTCCGCTGCTTCTTCATCATTTCCTTTCTTTCTTTCGATTGTTTAAACGAGGAATTGATTTTTTGGAATAGGATTTGGAGAAGAATCAAAGAGAGAGCTTATCGGTGGTGATGCCTGGGGATTCGATTCCCAAATTCATCGCGATGCCGTGCCCTAGAGAGCCGCCTCGGCCGGAGATGATTCATGTGAAAGTGGAGAAGCCGCCGAAACCGCCGCGAATCGCGATTCCTTTCTATTAGCAGATTCAGAATCACCATTGATTGATCTGTGTACATAGTAGAAGGAAATTAATTCTTTTTCAGTTTCATCTTTCATCTTCCCTCAGGAAATACAATTTCATCGGCTTCCAATTTCGTTGTGTGTGTGTTACAACCAGTTTCGTCACTACTTTAACATGATATTTCATCATTTTAATTCTCACATTTTTAAAATACAAAATTAATTAATATCGGTTAAGAGATTAGTATTTGAAACTCTCGCCGTACATAATATTTTATTCTTAAAAATAAATATAAAATTTAAATTACTTACTTTTTAAAAGTGATTAATCAATTGAACTATGTGAACTCTTTTTAATAATGCTAATTTGTCTTGTTTAGAACATTATTAATTCCCTAAATATAAAATGAAATTACATTTCTGGGTGAGATAAACATAAATTATAAATGTTATAAGAAGAAAATTAAAATTTTATTAGCTGAACTCACTTGCAAGTTCCTTTAATTTATAAAAAAAATAAGAAAATCCAAAATTTAAGAAGGTAACGAAAATGCAAGTTAAATAATTTATAATAATATCAATTTTTTTTTTAGATCTGTATTGATACACCTCTTGGTGTATGACTCTGATATTGTTGACACATTGCTTGGTGTTTGATTCTAATATTTTTTAACACACTGTCTCGTATCTGATTCCAATACCATTTGTAATAACTCAAATTCATCGTTCATATATATTATCCTTTCCAGACTTTTTATTCGAGGACTTCCTTTTAAAGATTTAAAACGCGTTAGCTATATATTGATTTTCACACCTTTATAATAAATGTTTCATCCTCTCGAGTCCAAAAAAAAAAACGAAAAAATGGAAAGTTAAAAGAAGAAAGAAAGCTTTATGGATATATCATTCTTATTAATTTTGATAGAACCAATAATATTAGCATACTTGGGCATCAAGTACAAGCAACCTGAAAATATTCCAAAACAGACAAGACAGGCAGAATGAGATACCTTCTAATTCTTTTAATTTTAAAAATTCGTCAAATAAAAAGTTTAAAACATTGAATCTTTATTTTATTTAAACGTTTATAATTTCTTTTTACTTCATATTTAAACATTTATGGAAATTATAAAAAAAAACTTTATTTAACAAAAAATGAATAGCATGTAATTTGATTTAAATTATTAAACCGTTTTAATGTTTAATATATATTTCATCTCTATTCAATTTAAAACTTTAATGGACCCGATTTTATTTAATTTAGTAAAACCTAAGAATTAAAATGAGGAGAATGAAATCCGGTACAGCCGGTAGTTTTATTAAATTCCAACCACTTTTCTTAATTATTAAATTAACTAAAAAGGTTTCAAGTCAGAAGTGGCGAATCATTAAGTCACAAAGTAAATGGATTAAATTGCGAAAATCAAAACAAAGACACTATAAACATATTAGTTGATATATATAAATACCAATTTATTGTTTCAAATCATTTGAACAAAGAAAGATTGTGACAGCAATTTTGTGTAGATTTTTTTTCTTAAAATGAAAGTTATGAAAATATGCATATGACGAGGATGAGATTATGGGACGTGGGAAAAAAGGCATAGTTCAAAATGATAACAAACACTTACCCGTCAACACATGAGCAAAGAAAATATAGATAACATCCAAATGAAAGTGATCTTCAAACTATTTTACAATAATTAAAATTACCATATACACTAATGAAATAAAAATAAAATTATTTTAAATATTCAATAATTTTTTATATAAAAGATGTGAGTGAGAAGAAAGCACGTTCGAAAATATTTATAATACGATGAGTGAGTCGTAAAAAGTTGATTTAAAAAGGTAGTAACAGTGAATAATCCATTTTGTTAATGTCATAATAGAATGATAAATCTGAACGTGAGAAGATTTCATTGTCGAGCACTTTGGTTGATCTTCATGATCCGTAGCACAAACCATTGACCATTTTGATCGAAGGTGGAAGTTGGAAAAATAAAACCGCCTTAAAAAAAAAAAAATAATAATAATAATTTTTCTGATGCTCATGATTAATGGAGCATATTCCCAAGTACATCTTCCGCATGTACCGCCCAACCAAACCGCCATTTCAAACCCCTTCGTACCACTTAAAAGACCCCTTAATAATTAACAACCACTTTACTAAAAATTAAAATAATTTAATTTTCTTCACTTTTCTTTTAGACATTAATATTTAAATTATTATTAATTATTAATTATGGTATTTTGTCCCCAGTCGTAATAATTATAATTAGGACGTTGATTTCAGGGTGCCTGCTTTCAACCACTTATCATCTAGAACCTGGTTTTGGCATTTTATTTATTTCAATTTCTTTTTATTTTCTATTTCTACGCATTAATTGACCCACAAATCAATCAATCAAATCTCATATCTCAATTAAATCATTCAATTTCATTATCTTCAAAAATAATAATATAAATCATTTGAGCCCAATTCATTTATTTTACATGGTAAAAATCACTTTCAAATAATGATCGAAAAATACTTAATTTACTCAAACATGGCAAATTTAAGAAACTGTCGAACATGCCAAGTGTTCGGTGGTTATCATGCCACGTCATTAATCTTATCGAATTAGACACCATTTCTCACAGTTAGAATTATTTTTGTCATCACTTAATCCTCCCAATAAAAAAATTCCGTGCACTTAAAAAAGTAATATTCTGAATTTTCTTTTTTGGGATTTTTTTAATGACGTTTGAACTAATTTAATTAAAAAATAAAATTGGAAAACGACAAGCATCAAACTGGGTACTATTTAGTTGAAGTCATATTGGAAAAATAAATTAAAAAAATAAAGATAATATATAAAATAAGAGGAAAATAGGGAAATTAGGTAATAGGAGAGAGTGGGATACTACAGAGCATATCGAATTCAAACAGCCACTTGCATACAAATACGAGCAGTTGTAGTGGGAGCTCTTAGTGACCAAATTAGGTACAAATATTATTCAAAAAGCTACTTTTTCTTTTTATATTTAAATATTTTTTAATTTACGAATATAAAAAAATTAATAAATAAACAAATTTCCTCTGTGGATTATAATAATGGGTTGTTCTTGGGGTTGAATAAAAGTAATGATGTAGGCATCTAATTCCATATAGTTTATTAGATGCTTAAATCTTTAATTAATTCCCTATAATCCGTAAATAAATAAATAAAATCTTTTTGTGTATATATATCCTTTTAACGCATTCCAAAAAGAGAAAAAGTAAAAAAGACGATTTTATAAACTTCTTAAGCTGCAAAATGTCATTTTTGCCCCTATGGTGTATGGAATTTCAATTATGCCCTTTCAATGCATTGCCTCAATCAGTGCATGTGAAGCTCTATTTCACCTCCATTATTGCAGAATTCAATGGTTCAAACTTTTCGTCTTGAATATAATATATATATATATATATATATATATATATATATATATATTTTTTTTTTTTTTTTTAATTTATGAAATTAATTTCTTAAAATTTAATACAAATTAGTGTTAGTGATTCGAAGCCATTACTATTTTGTCTATTATTGATACATCATGTCAACCCAAAATTAGTTGTATCACGAGTAAAAAGAAAATACGTAAAAATTATCTACATCAACACGTTAAAAGTTTGAAAATTTTATATATTCATTTATTTAGGTGACATATTTATAGGTATCACGTGTATTATTATTAATGTATTTATGTTTTAACATTCAACCAATGTGAGACGAAATTAGAAAAATGCTAAAAATATAATAAACTAAATTGGAATATTTTATACAATAATACCGAATAATAAAAAAGAACCCAAACTATTTATTTTCTATTGTTATTTTTTCTCTTCCTTTTAAATTTAGTTGAAAGATTAAGAAAAATTGATTTTGGTCCATTAGAGTTAATTTCAAGCAGCCCAACAAAATGTCAGTATTGGGCCTATGATAAAGCCGATAGATTTTTTATTTTTTATTATTATTATTTTATTTTTTATAGTTTCCTGGTGGTAGCGCGTATTTCCTTAACATTCAAACCAAGGATGCCTACGAACTGTTTGTGAGAATGCCCAGCTCAAACTCCGTCGCCAGCTCCGTGGATATCAAAGCTCTACGAAGATCTCCAAGGCTTCTCGCTCCTACTGCACCCCCAGGGCAACACGAATGCCCTTCTACACGAAGATCTCTGAGATTTCTTCAAAAGAAGGACATTTCACCTCCCACGCTCCCGGAGCCCCGCCGTTCTCACTCTGCAATTCGCCAGGTACACCCTTCCCACACTTGTCTCAGTCCTTCAAAGAATGTTTCTCCTAAAACCCCCAAACCGGTTCTTGTAAATACCCCGAAAAAATTGAAGAAAAAATTGAAGAAACCTTGTGTTGTTTCGAGTGAAAACAAAGATTCAAACTCTGGGTTGAAAAAGTCTTCGACATTTGAAAATGGGTTTGAGGGAATACAAACTCCAAGACGGTCCTCTAGGTTATCATGTGTGCCAAAGATTGACAATGTATGCGAGGGGAAGAACGCAGAAGTTTCAAAGAGTTCAATTGATTTTGGAGGGCGTTCGAGAGATTTTAAGCATTCAAATGCAGGGTCGAAAAGGGATTCGACATTCGAAAACGGGCTTGAGGGAATACAAACTCCAAGACGATCCTCTAGGTTATCACATGCGCCGAAGTCTGATAATGCGCTTGAGAGGAAGAACGCCGAAGTTTCAAAGAGTTCAATTACTTTCGGAGGGCGTTCAAGAGATTTGAAGCATTCAAATATAGGATCGAAGAAGTCTTCGGTATTCGAAGACGGGTCTGAGGGAATACAAACTCCAAGACGGTCCTCTAGGTTATCATATGCGCAGAAGATTGACAGTGCGCTCGAGGGTAAGAATTCAAAAGTTTCAAAGAGTTCAAGTGCTTTTGAAGGGCGTTCGAGAGATTTAAAGCATTCAAATACAGGATCAAAAGAGTCTTCGACATTCGAAAACCGGTTTGAGGTAATACAGACTACAAGACGGTCATCTAGGTTATCATATGCACCCAAGATTGACAATGCGCTCGAGGGAAAGGATGCGAAAGTTTCAAAGAGTTCAATTACTTTCGGAGGGCGTTCGAGAGATTTGAAGCATTCAAA